GAATTATTGATAATATAGAAGAGTATGTTGCAAAGAGAAAATAAGCATTTCTGCAAACAGGAAAAACAATAAACTAATCACGATCACTTAGAGGCCACAAATGTCTATTTTCTGCAATGATTTCTGATTTGTAGTAAATGCAAAGAAGTTTTACGAAGAATTCAACAAAATGGTCGAGAGATCACTGCAGGGCCTGTGGTTGAGAACTATGTGTATTTGGGCTTTCATGGTCCACACCTGCCCAGTGACCTCATTTAACTACATAACCAACGCACACTGTTTTGTGAACGCTCGCTGGCTGTTGTACATGAATGTAGACGTCTTGTTTACATTTATGTTATTATAGAATTTGTTCAGATGATGTGTTGTTTAATTTATTGATGTCAGGCTTAATTTACTGATGTTAGGTAGATAGATAGATACGTTTTATTGATTGGCCTATTGGCCGTATCAGAACATTTAACACATAACACAATTAACACATAGTCATACATAGTCATACATACAACATACAACCCTCGGTATAAAAGAAGTTAAAATAAACAAGCTGTCAACAAGATCTCGTTCAGGTCAAATGTCTGCGTCACCTCCACAGCTTACCCCAATCGATTCCAAATGTGCAATTCTCAGCTGATGTTAGGTCTTAATTTGATGTTAGGCTTTTGTTGGAAATCAGGAGCTGTTATGCTCAAAAATAACCCTCACTTGTGATTCCACAAAAATACAGCAGAATGCCAGAAGCACGGTTTATAACCGGTAGAAGCTTATGTGCAGAGAGCAAGGATTTGTTTCCATTCAACAGGAAGGAGCAGGATTGCAAATCCACAATTTCATAGGTTCTAGAAATAATATGTTTATTAATATTAAAAAAAATCCATTCTAGATAGGAAAGGTTCTTGGAGCTAATGAATTTCACAGAGCTATCTTCTAAGGAAAAGGAAAAAAGGAAAAATAACAAAATAGCCATATCTACTAAATCTTGCCTGGACAATGGCAAGATGCCTCCTCACTCTAGAACAGGGGTCCTCAAACTTTTTAAACAGAGGGCCAGGTCACAGTCCCTCAAACTAGGTTCTTGTGGGTTTTTTCGGGCTATAGGGCCATGTTCTAGGGGCATTTCTCCTGACGTTTCGCCTGCATCTATGGCAAGCATCCTCAGAGGATGCATGCATAGATGCAGGCGAAACGTCAGGAGAAATGCCCCTAGAACATGGCCCTATAGCCCGAAAAAACCCACAAGAACCTAGTGATTCCAGCCATGAGAGCCTTCGACAATACATTGAACGTCCCCCAAACTGTTAGAGGGCCGGATTATAATTTGAAAAAACTTGAATGAATTCCTATGCAGACGGCACATATCTTATTTGTAGTGCAAAAACACTTAAAAACAATACAATAATTAAAATGGAGAACAATTTTAACAAATATAAACTTATTAGTATTTCAATGGGAAGTGTGGGCCTGCTTTTGGCTGATGAGATAGGATTGTTGTTGTTGTTGTTGTTGTTTGCTTTCAAGTCATTTCAGACTTAGGTTGACCCTGAGCGAGGGCCGGGTAAATGACCTTGGAGGGCTGTATCCAGCCCCCGGGCCTTAGTTTGAGGACCCCTGCTTAGTTTGAGGACCCCTGCTCCTTTGAGAACAAAGGAGAAGAGAGAGTGAGGCCAAAATGGAGAACTGACCACATGGCCTCACTGGGCCAATAACAATACCTTAAAAGAGGAAATTATGTCTTCCTTGAAGAGATCACATTGCTAAGTATTCAAAGGGGAGGAGATAGTGGCATGCAGGATGAGTAAGACAACCCCTCTTCTATACCCCTTTTTGAGGTAGACATGTACAAGGAATTTGGGGAAGAAATCCCTCATTCTAATCTAGGTAGGCTAGCTATTTATTGAGGGCTAGAGATTTGTGCAGTCAGGAATGACACTCAACAACTTTTACATGTGAGGGCTTTCTGCGTTTTTATGTTAGTATCGTGTGTCATGGCAAATAATAGACTACCAAAACTGTGCCTGTTAGAGCAGACAAAAAATCAACATCAGACTCTTGGCTAGTTCAATTGACAAAACACATTAGGAGTTGTAGACTTCAGATTCTGTATCCAAATCCCCTAGAACTAGATCCAGAAAATGGTTGCACAACGAATACTGTATATAGAAACTCAGAAAGACCCTCAATAAAGCTAGCTCATTGAACTGACTAAGTCATTTTAAACATACTCTTCATACAGCCCAATATCTAAAGGCAGAAATGCCTGAACACTTCAGGAGGTTATTGACCAGAATTTGATTTGAACAGCTGGATGCAATGGTCAAACATGCAAGGTTTAACCAAGTTCCATATACAGTAGAGTCTCGCTTATCCAACATCAACGGGTAGGCAGAACATTGGATAAGTGAAAATGTTGGATAAGAAGGAAGGATTAAGGAAAAGCCTTAATGTCAAATTACGTTATGATTTTACAAATTAATTATCAGAGCATCATGTTTTATAAAACTTCAAAAGAAAAAGGTGTTCAATACACAGTAATGTTATGTAGTAATTACTGTATTTATGAATTTAGCACCAAAACATCACAATATATTAGAACAGCTGTGGATCCGGGCGGGAGGCAGACTCCGTTGGATAATACAGAACGTTGGATGAGCAAATGTTGGATAAGCAAGACTCTACTGTAATGAATGATCTTGTATCTGTGGAGCATCAGAGGTAGAAGATAGTATCACACGTGTACTGTTTAGTTGTAACTTGTACAAGAAAGAGAGAAACCAATACCTCAGGCCATACATTATACAAAAGACATTATACACTGGGATCCTTATATTAAAATTACATTTCTATTGGCTGGCCAGAATGCTAAAATAACATACAAAATAGCCCTTTTTCTATTTAAAGCAACACAGCTGAGAACTGCATATTTAGAGTCGATTGGGGTAAACTGTAGAGGGGATGCAGATATTTGATATAGATCAGGACCTTGTTAACAGCTTGTTTATTTTAACTTATGTTGAACAGTGGGTTGTATGCTCTATGAGTATGGGTTAAATGTGTTTGTCAGATATTTTGATACTTTTAATAGATGTGTGTTATGGCTAGAATTTGTATGCTTATATTTTGTTTTGTTAATCTTATTGTTATGTTGTTGTTTTTTTTACTTTCTATGTTTTGTGATATTAACTGGGAACCACTCTGAGTCCCCTCGGGGAGATGGGGCGGTATATAAATAAAGTTATTTATTATTATTATTATTATTATTATTATACAGCCAATGGGCTAATCAATAAAACGTACTACCTACTAGAGGAATGTATTTGGGTAAAAGCTTGTCCCTTTTCGTTTCTGAGCTTTCATTGTGGGGCCCAATCCATTTTCAGTTCTTTCATTTCGGGGCTGAAAATCAGCCCATTATGGGGGGGGGGCCTTCCCACCCACTGGCTCCCCTTCCTGAGGCGCTCGGCTGGGTGTGCGTGTGTGGACACTGCGCTGCTTCTCTTCCTCCTCCTCTCTCGCACCCACAATGCCCCACATTCACTCATGAGAGTCATGGCCAGGCAGCCCCACATACGGACCTCGGCAAGCATGCTTTATCAGGGTGGAAGGAACCACCACCCTGGTTCCAGATCCTGGAATACTTGCATGATATCTTGGCAATGATACCCAAATCTAAGCCCAAAATTCATTTATATTTCATATACACATTGTTTTCAGTAATTTCTCTATATAAAAGTTGAAGTATATCTGTCTGTATCACAATGGCTGTTGCTAGGTGAAGTGGCCTTCTGTGATGTCACTGGATTCAATGTTGCTATGTGAAGTGGCCATCTGTGATGTCACTGGGAAAGACAGGTGATATGTGTATGAGGGGCAGGGAGGAAGCAAGGAAAGAGTCACAAAGAGAACCATATTTCCATGGAGGCATTGTGAGTTAGGCCCTCTCAGAGTGGAGAAGGGATAAAGGGGAAAAGGAAGGGAGGGAGGGAGGGAGGGAGGGAGGGAGGGAGGGGAGAAGGAAGGAAAGTGGGAAATGTATGGGGGGAGAGAAAGAAGTGATAAAAGCAGAGGGCAGTGGGCCCTCCGCCACTCGGGCAACACTGGGTATATATACAGTAAATTCGGTCATGAAACAAAGTTTGTGTACATTGAATCAACAGAAAGGGAGGGTCTCACTATCTCAACAACCCGCAAGGGGAATTTTCCAATCTGTGAGTCATGACACATTTGTGTGTTGGCTGCAGTGTGTAGGTGTGTTGCACTAACATAATGGAAACTTATGCATCTATGCAAAATAAACAATAATATATTTTTTTAAATATATAAATGCAAGGTTTTAATGAGACATGCTATGTCCCCATGTAGTTAGTCATTACAATTGATGTTATGTGTCCATTTCTCTTATAAGGGGTTAGTTTAACCTGTAGTTTGCTAGTAAAACTAAATTACTGTGTAGTTAAATGATGCATATCTAAAAATGTGTGTCAATCAAGATGAAATCTTTGGAAAGCTCTGATTATAAATATTTCTGGACAAACACTCATATCCTCTTTTTTTCCACTTCATCAGAGATGTAATTCCCTCACAACGGACTATGCTGGAGGGGCAGATGGGAGCCAACAACATGAGTAACATCTGGGAGGGCCACATGATTCCTACTCCTGCTCCAAATACAACACAATGTATTGGCCATTAGTGACCATATTCACAAAAACAGAGCAGTCCTTGCATTTTCCAGCCTTCATTCCTAGTGTGTGTGGTGAAATGATCACACTCAGAAGTGGAGCACAAAAAATGCAATCAAAACACAGTCAAAAACAAAATCCACTTCTGATAAAAATGGGATTCGTAATATGTCTGACACAAAGAGTAAAGAAAAGATGCAGGAATCTTTTAATCGCTTACTTTAAAGATAGTAAGGTGCTATTTTTTGTTTCGTTTTTACATAGCAACACATATATCATTTTTGAACCAATAAAATAAATGCCTCAGGTCTTGTCTCTTACCAGAAGAAGTTCGTCCTGTAATTCCTTGTAATCTTTTTCATGATCCTGGAGTCTCTCTGAGAGATCTGTAATTACTTTCTTCTTCTCCTCAATCTCTTCATTGAGCTGCTTGTTTATGGAAAAGTACTCCCTTTCTAGCCTGAAAAGATGGAATGGGATGTTTAGAAAGACTTTAAACTAATAATGATTTATATTGAAAAAACACTATACATATTACATTGCCTTTCCACCATGGTTTATTTTTAATCTAATGTTAATTAATCTAATCTAATCATAATTAGGAAACTGCTTACCAAGTGCTTAATATACTATAGGTAAAGCAAAAGGTTTTCACCTGACATTAAGTCCAATTGTGTCCGACTCTCGGGGTTGGTGAACATCTCCAATTCTAAGCCAAAGAGCGGGTGTTGTCCGTAGACACCTCCAAGGTCATGTGGCCAGCATGAATGCATGGAGCACCTTACCTTCCCACCGGAGCAGTACCTATTGATCTACTCACATTTGCATGTTTTCAAACTTCTAGGTTCGCAGAAGCTGGGGCTGACAGCAGGAGCTCACCCCACTCCCTGGATTTGAATGCGACCTTTCAGTCAGCAAGTTTGGCAGCTCACCACTTTAACCCACTGCACCACCGGGAGCTCCTAATATACTATAGTCACCAGTCATATTGTGGGTGTGGCACACAAAAAATAGATTATATGCAACATTAAGTTGCATATCAATAATGCAACAATACTGAAATGTCCAGAGTTGAAGCGCTTCATGCTGGAAATTATTTGAATTTGTTAAACTGTGCCAAAAGCTAAGACTTGCTAGATTATATACTCCATAAATCATAAACCATGCTGTGAGTTCATATCCTCCATACTGCTTCTGTCTCTTCCTCCCTCATGTGCAACTCCATTACTGCCTTCTACAGTTTGTGCTAATTACATTTTTATGTACGCACTGAGACATGCTATGGTCAGATCTTCAGAAACCATGGGTTTTTTAGAAGCTCATACTCCAAACTCAAGGAACACAGGACAGAGCTTCTCAAACTGCATGCCTCGCTGTCTATCCATATGGCCTAAAAAGAAGGGCCTCTACACATATTATATCCTCCTTGAGTCTCATTATCAGGAGAAAAGTGGGATAATCCTGTGCTATGCTAATAATATAATATAATGTATTGCATATACATATAATATTTATAATATTATAATGTAATACAATATAATATTAATAATAATATGTTATATATATATATATACATGTAATATTACTAATAATATTACAATATAATGGTGTAGTACAATATACTAATATATAATACTGATATTGTACTATGCTAATGATATAATATAGTGTATGTATATGTATCTTGTAAGCTGCTTTGAGTCACCTTCAGGGTGAGAAGGGCACCATATAAATGTTGTGAGTAAGTAAATAAATAAATAAATAATCTGATAATAATAACAATTATAATAACAACAACTGGCCGAACTTGTCTCATATCTCTGTTGTGCTTGGAATATATCCCCTCCCCAAACTTTATATGTTCTCGTGCTTAAGTCACCCTCATTTACAAATCGAGGTCAAACTTTGGGTTCACAGTTACGGATCTGAATATGACCCATGGATAAGTCAGGTGTTTTTACTATCATTTCTAAACTTATACACAAGTACAAATAGCACATGCCTTTATAAACTCTCACTATTAGCTGATCTGGAAGGCTGAATGCTACAATTTGAAGAGTTGTTGTAGGTTTTTCCAGGCTATATGACCATGTTCTAGAGCAGTGGTTCTCAACCTGTGGGTCCCCAGATGTTTTGGCCTCCAACTCCCAGAAATCCTAACAGCTGGTAAATTGGCTGGGATTTCTGGGAGTTGTAAGCCAAAACACCTGGGGACCCACAGGTTGAGAACCACTGCTCTAGAACATGGCCATATAGCCCGGAAAAACCTACAACAACCCAGTGATTCCGGCCATGAAAGCCTTCGACAATAATTTGAAGAGTATTTTTCATTAGCACAGTGAAACATTTTCAGAACATATTGAAAATTAAATCAACAGGAAGATGATACAAATAGTAAGAACACTTTCACTCACACAAAATTCAGCATGTATCTGAATGAATACCAAGTGTGAAGATAAAAGCAGAGCTTGGAAACATGATCTTAGTATGAAACACTTCATTTTCAATGCATGCTTCCTGGGGTATGCGCAGAAAGTAAAATGTAACATTACTCATAAGTAATGCACAACTTTTGGCGTTTTAAATGATTTTATGGGACCGTGTTGCTATTTAATTGTGTAAAAAATGGCTGAAGGATTTTCCCCTCCAATTTTTTATTTTTTTCATGTCAGGAGTGACTTGAGAAACTGCAAGTAACTTCTGGTGTGAGAGAATTGGCTGTATGCAAGGATGTTGCCCAGGGAATGCCCGGATGTTTGATGTTTCACCATTCTTGTGGGAGGCTTCTCTCATGTCCCCACATGGGGAGCTCACCCCACTTCCCCTCCAATTATCAGAGACAGATGGGCTGTAGGAAGAATAAGCAGATTTAACCTCGTGTCACGTCACTTAGTCACTTCAGAAAGTATACTTATTTGTTAATATCAAAATAAGCAGAAATAAACAATTTGCTGGATATAAGGTGGAAGAAAAAGTACTAAATTATAAAAGAACTAAAAAACGGTAGCAAGAAATCCACTTTTAAAATCAGTTTATGTTTGCAGTTTAGATGTAATTAGAGATGTTGCTGTGTAGTTTGATATGTAATTTGATATGTAATTGTTCAAGTATGTCAATGTTTATGTATGCCTACATATTATTATTTTTGTATTTTGTTTCTTTTAAAAAATTATTTTTGTGCCAGACTTCCTGCCTCTCACTGCTTTCTATTCATTACTGTGTCCTGGAACAAAGCAAGCCACAGGAAATCTTGCTTAGAAGGCTTAAAAAGGGAATACCTCCAATCAATTTACATATAAAGTAAGAGATAATATATCTCTTTCAAGCAACATGTAAAAGAATTTCTCAATGGGTTGCTGTGAGTTTTCTGGGCTGTATGGCTAGGTTCCAAAAGCATTCTCTCCTGACATTTCACCCACATCTATGGTAGGCATCCTCAGAGGTTGTGAGGTCTGTTGGAAACTAGGCAAGTAAGGTTTATATATCTGTGGGATGTCCAGGGTGGGAGAAAGAACTCTTGTCTGCTTTAGGCAAGTGTGAATGTTGCAATTAGCCACCTTATTAGCATTGAATGGCCTTGCAGCTTCAAAGCCTGGTTGATTCCTGCCTGGGGGAGCCTTTGTTGGGAGGTGTTTCGCTGGGCTTGATTACTCAGTGCTTTACAAATCCAAAAGACATTCTATTCTATTCTAACAAAATCAACACCACGGCCCCACATTACCACCCAAAGTCAATGTCTTATATTAGTTACTATTATTATTTCCAAGCTCTGAATAATGAACACATAGTGAAAATATTAGGGAGATGCAATGGTCATCAAACCAAGGAATAGAATGAGGAACTATGACAGTAATAATGGAAGTGTGAAAGTTTTGAGAAACAAGACAAAATTGCATAAAAACTACCTGAAAGGCCATCACTCATGAAAGATGGCACATCCATATCAGAATGACTTGTAAAGAAACAAAAATCCAGTTATGAATTAAAATCAGGCCCCCTCCGAACAAGTTTTGTCAGAAAAACCCTGTGATAGGTTGGTCTTAAGGTGTTTACAGATGGTTTGCAACTACATCTCTGGGTACATGTGATACATTCTACAGACTTGGGATTTTCTCATGTTTATTTCCTCCAACAGATCATCTAATAGTTTAAGGAAGAAGCAGGTGCTTCTCTCAACAAAGGAGAAAATAATGTAGTCATCTGAGGGCAAACTGAGAGTTAAAACTGCATCTTAAGATCTTTTGGACCTTAAGATACGGTAAATTTCTCCCTGCAAGGAGAAAGAAAGACCTTCCTTTAGAATAAGGGATCAAAATTCAGAAAGCACATGGACTTCCCACATTGCAGAAATATTTAATATTCTATTGACACAAAGATATCATGATCCAGTAAGGAAGCATTTCCTAAGACACACTGAGAGCCTGCCAAAAGAGACTTATTTATTTATTTTTATGGTATTTTTATCCTGCCTTTCTCAGCCCGAAGGCAACTCAAGGCAACTTACAAATTGGCAGGCACAACAGTCATAAATACAGTTAAAAACATTTAGAAACACATTATAAAAATCCATACAAAAAAAATTAAAAACATATCATCACCAATGTCTTCCTGTTAATCTCATTATCCAGTAGCATGTTTCGTTCATAGTTCCATGTTTATCTATTACACTCCATTTCCAAAAGCTTGTTCAAAGAGGAAGCTTTTGGAAAGCAGGTTTTTACTTTTTTTCGGAAAGTCAGGAGGTAGGGGGCCGATCTAATATCCCTAGGGAGGTAATTGCACAGCCGAGGGCCACCACTAAGAAGGCCCTGTCTCTCATCCCCACCAGAAGCACCTGCAAAGAAGGCAGGACCGAGAACAGGGCCTCCTTAGACAATCTTAAGTTCCTAGATGGTTCATAAGGAGAGATACGTTTGGATGAGTAAGCTGGGCCAGAACCGTTTAGGGTTTTATAGGCTAAAGCCAGCACTTTGAGTTGTGCCCGGTAGCAAACTGGAAGCCAGTGGAGTTGACGCAACAGGGGAGTAGTATGCTCCCTGAGAACTGCTCCAGTTAGCAACCTGGCTGCCGCCCGCTGGACCATTTGAAGCTTCCAGACAGTCTTCAAAGGCAACCCCACATAGAGTGCGTTGCAGTAATCTAAACGGCATGTAACCAGAGCATGGACTACCATGGCCAAGTCAGACCTCCCAAGGAGAGGGTGGAATGGGTTGACAGAATCCACACACACACAAAAAAATATAGACAACATACAACCAACAGATTCACATCAGATCTACAATTGATATTGATAAACTGATCCACAAATGGGAGAAGAATTAGTAAAAAATACCACTCCTCCCGTATAAGCCGGGCTTGGCTTGGAGATATTTGTCTCTTCCAAGATGAAAGCTCAAGCAGAACCACTGGTAGCACTGCTCTGTTAAATTCCTTTATTGATGTGGCACAGGCTCTGCACATACAGGGCAGCAACATGGGCCGGAACAGATATAAAAGAGAATTTTTATAAAGTGCTGTCTCAGTAGTATTTTTTTTACCTTAAGAAGTATGCTCAGTGACAAGAGGGCAATGTTGTGGCCTCAAAACAAATGTCATGAATATTTGATAGTATTGCAGCATGGCTTAAAACTTCTGTAATGAGACATTGAACACTATGAAGGTGATAGCAGGTCATAATGTCCCTGTAACCAGTAGACGAGTCTGTATAGAAAATTGAGGTGATATTTTGGTCAGAGCCTGGATGTTGACGGGAAAAAACAAGACTTGGTGTAAGAAAACACTATGCTGACATGAAAAGTTCGGCATTATTATTTTGTGGGGGGGGGGGGGCAGTTGACAGTGCTTTGAATGGGTTATAGTAGTTTTCTCGGGCTGTATGGCCATGTTCTAGAAGCATTCTCTCCTGACGTTTCACCTGCATCTGTGGCAAGCATCCACAACCTCTGAGGATGTCTGCCACAGATGCAGACAAAACGTCAGGAGAGCATGCTTCTAGAACATGGTCATACAGCCCAAAAAACCTACAACAACCCAGTGATTCTGGCCATGAAAGCCTTCAACAATACAGTGCTTTGAATAATTCCCAAAGAATTTCAATGGCATTTGTGATGTATTTATTTTCATACCATATATCTTATCAAGGGGGCAACTTCTAAGGTGTACAGGGCAAGTGTCCCTTATCCAAAATGCTTGAGATCAGAAGTATTGTGGATTTCAGACGCTTTGGGATTTTGACGTATATAAAAAATCTTGGAGAATTCAATGACTTTTGCTTATAACAACAGTGGGCTTAGGACTACAAAAGAGGAAGGACCAAGCACCATCACATTGCTATTCTGTACATAATATCTCATCAACCTGTGAAATATTAAAACAGCGGATGTAGCTCTTAATGTGACATGCTGCCTTATCACATGATGTCTACACCCCACACCACTGGAGTAATTATACTGTTTAGCCGGTATTGCACCACCTGACATCTGTCGGGAAGTAGCAGCTTATAATGAAAGGACCAAGGAATTGGCATCTCCGGCCCATCCTCTGTTCAGATATCAGCCAGCAAGTCAACACCTTAAATCAAGAAACAGCTTCCTAAGATCTACAGAGATACTTGCAGGAACACCTCAGCAAGCGAGAGCCCAAAAATGGCAGGCAAAAACCTGGAACCTCAATCAGTGACTGATACCAGATGAGAAACTCCCCCCTGTGCACATAGAAGATTAGGCGACTTGGAAGGCACTGAACAGACTATGCTCTGGCACCACGAGATGCAGAGCTAACCTTAAGAAACGGGGCTACAAAGTGGAGAAGAGCAAACCACTGACCACTTACTACAATGCAGTCTGAGCCTTGCCACATGCACAATGGAGGACTTTCTTACAGCAACACCAGTGGCACTCCAAGTGGCTAGCTTATGGTAAAAAGAAATTTAGCATAATGCCAAGTTTTTAACTTTGTAGTTTTTCTATACATTATAACTGTATTCTTAATTTGCTTCTGACACAATAAATAAATAACCTCCTGAAATTCGCATACATTATCAATTTCATGATATGTATTTAAATAAATGAATTCACAGTTAAAACAGGAATACTCTGCACAGGTCTTCTAACAGGGTGCCACTAAATTAAATGATGTCTACTGTCAGGAAATGAGTGAAGGATTACAACTCTCTTTTAAAGACCTCAAGGCACATAAGTTTAAATAATAACCTTTCTCATCAACCTGATAAATGCACCTAAATGAGCAGCTCTGTGATATATACTATTCAAGGTGTGTTATTATTTTACTTCTCGATTCACACGAACACATCCAAAGCACAGACACATTTCAAAATTAGGAAGCAAACAACTTACATGTTCAGCTTTTCAAATGCCTCGTAAGCATTATGCTTCTCTCTCTCATAGGCATTTTCTACCTCTTTAAATTTGGTTTTGATCATTCCCACTTCAGAAAGTGCTTCTGCTTGACTTGCCTTCTCCACTTGCAAAGCTCCTTCGAGATCTCTAATTCTTAACTGCAGAAGGAAAAATGACAACAACAAAAATCAACACTGTTGTTATTGCTCTGACAGGCTACTTATTGGGTCAGGCAATGACCATTCAGGCACAAATAACCAGAACTTGTTTTGGACTAAAGCTTCCCAAGTTCTCTAGCAAATATGGCTATTAATCATATTTGCAAACTGGGTGGATAGTTTGGTAGTCACAGGCTTCCCTGCCCCCCCCCCCCCCCCCCAAAAAAGAGAAAGATTTTATACACCAGGACAATAGAAGGTATTGCTTTTTCATCTCTTAACCAGGATTGGTTAGCCTGCAATATCACAAACATAGTCATATGAAATGTACACATCATCACCATCAATTTTATTTGTGGCCCACTCCTCCTTACAACTCTAAATCTGGCACAACACAGTTAAAACATGCCACCATAAAATACATACCCAAAATGCATAGATTAAAACAAATGACTATAAAATAGGTAAAGGTAAGGTAAAGATTTTCCTCTGACATGAAGTCCAGTCAACTCTGACTCTGGGAGTTGGTGTTCATCTCCATTTCTAAGCCAAAGAGCCGGCCTTGTCCGTAGACACCTCCAAGGTCATGTGATCAGCATGACTGCATGGAGCGCCGTGTTAAATTTTGACTATAAAATACATATATTAAAATACAAGATATAAAGCTTAAATGCAATGGTATATAATGTAAATGTAAAGTTTATGATTTCAAATTGACTGGGTTGGTTTGCTGGAAGAGATGGGTCTTTAGTTGTTTTGTGCTCAAGGTTTCACTTTACCAGACATAACCCACAAGAGCCCCCAGAGGTGCAATGGGTTTAAACTCGTGCCAGCAGGACTGCTGTCTGAAAGGTCGGTGGATCGAATCCGGGGAGCGGAGTAAAGTTTCTCAAGTCACTTCTGACACGATTTTTTAAAAAGTATAATCCAATAACCATGTGCTAGTCATTCAGAGAAAAACTAGCCCAGGATGCATTTGTCAGCTTCACATAATGTCCACCACAAAGTTACCTGAATTATTTCAGAATTAAATTTTGATTCCAGATGTGCTGCTCTCTCTGCCTCCACATTTTCTTCCAGTTTCTTTATTCTCGCTGTAGCTACCTGAAACCAAAGGTTAACAACTAATTAAAAACACAAACACATCTTTAAAATTGTAATCAGACTTTCTGAGTCTCAGCTGAATCGTACAGACAGTCCCCAAGTTATGAACAAGAGAGGTTCTGTAAACTTGCTCTTAAGTTGCATTTGTTTGGAAGTTGGAACAGGTACATTTTTTGAGTGTTACTTTTTGCTGTCAGTGCCCATGTTCAGAAGATTTCCCCTCACTTTCTGTCCCTGTAATAATTGGATTTTGAAAAAAAATGGCTTGTTTTGGAAATAAGAATTGGTGAGAAAGCTTCAGTGGAGACCCCTTTTCCCCATGGTAACTCTTTCGGGAGAGGATTTCCCTTCCAAGGTGTGGATTTTTCTCACTTCCTGCTGTCTCACCCCCATTCTTAACTATGAATTGTTTGCAAGTCAGATGTTTGTAACTACAGGACTGTCTGTACTTTTTAGACTAACTATTATATCACATTTTGCTTATGAGCAGTCTTTTGAAGGCTTCAGGGCTGATACATCATAGATCCACCTAAGACTTAAGTAATTATATCCACTTCAAAAAATACTTTCCTTATTCCACTTGGGAGGCTCTTTTTATCTAAATTTTCAGACCAAAAGGATATCAAGGTTCTCCTTTGTTAATAGACACAACTCTCTTCTCTAATGAGAGCAGAAGAGAAGGAAGAAACCGCATTTGAATAGCTTTGTAAAAGAGATTTTCAAATTTGTCCACCTTCTTCCTCGTGTATTTATAAATACTTTATTGCAAAGCTTTCCAAACTGTGCTTCACAACACATTAGTGTATCAGCTGCAGTGTGTAGGTGTGTCCTGCAAATGTAATGAGAAACCTCTGTGTCTATGTGAAATAAGCAATATAAGCAAAATATTAATGAACGTTTTCATGAGATACGTTGTGCCCCCATATATTTCATTAATATTATTTAGATACATGTCCGTATCTCTTATAAGGGGTTGGTGTAATCGCCAGTTTGCAAATAAAAATGATTTACTGTTGATGCATATCTAAAAAGTATGTCACCAGCATGAAATGTTTGGAAAACTCAACTGTAAATGCTCAACAGTTGGCCATTTTTCTTGAAACCACCAGAGGGCACTAAAGGAACGTCACAAATCTTAACGTAAAGCAAAAAGAGCTTTGTTTTCCTATTAAACATTTTAAGAAAAGAAGTTTATAAAGCTATTCTGAGAATTATTTCAATGTCTTGCTAAAACATAACCTGTTATCTTTTATGTAATTTATCCATTCATATTATACAGTTACTTAAGCATTTAGGAATTCCCTCCCTTTGTTATAGGTAAAGGAAAAGGTTTTCCCCTGACATTAAGTCCAGTCGTGTCCAACTCTCGGAGTTGGTGCTCATCTCCATTTCTAAGCCAAAAACCCAGCGTTGTCCATAGACACCTCCAAGGTCATGGAGCAGGCATGATTGCATGGAGCGCCGTTACCTCTCTGCCGGAGAGGTATCTATTGATCTACTCACATTTGCATGTTTTCCAATTGCTCGGTTAGCAGAAGCTGGGGCTAACAGAGGAAGCTCACGCCGCTTCCTGAATTCGAACCCATGACCTTTTGGTCAGGAAGTTCAGCAGCTCAGCGCTTTAACCCATATGAAATACTTTTTTCTACCATAATATCTATTCATTCTGTATCCTTTGAAATAATGTACCAAAAGAGGACATAGTGTTAATTTGTATTTCCTCTTAACCCTCCTTGAGTATTTCCAAGTTGTGTTTAATTATTAAGTTGAACATTTTCTTGGGAAGGGGGAATCATGTAAACATATTAGTAAACATATCAGTGATAGTATAAATCTATGTCTAGGCTTCATATGAACTAGCAAGTGAAAATAAAGCGCCTGTGATTAACTTTAAGGAAACATTGGCTTTATAGGGATAATCTGGAACCTAAGGCACCATATTTGCAAGGTAAGCCTGTAATATGTGATTTATTTATTTATCGTATCAGAAGCGAACTGAGGGTACAGTTGTAATGTACTTTAAAACACAAAGTTTAAAAACTGGGCATTATACTAAATGTTCTTTGACCAGTAGCTGGGCACTTGGAGTACCTCTGGTGTTGCTATAACAAGGTCCTCCTTTGTACATGTGGCAGGGCTGAGACTGTACTGTAGTAAGTGGTCTGCAGTTTGCTGTTCTTCAAAGTCACATGTTGTGGACACCACTCTGTAGCCCCATTTTTCAAGGTTGTATCTGCATCTTGTGGTGCCAGAGTGCAGTCTGTTCAGCGCATTCCAAGTCACGCAGCCTTATGTGTGCCCGGAGGGGAGTCTCTCATTTAGTATCAGCCATGGCTTGAGATCTTGGGATTTAACCTGCCACTTTTGGACTCTTGCTTGCTGAGGTAGATCTTAGAAAACTATTTCTTAATTTAAGGCGTTGGCATGCTGGCTGATTTCCAAATGGGGGGTGGGCTGTAGATGTCACTGCCTTGATCGTTTCATTGCTGGCTGCTACTTGGCGGATGTCACGTGGTGCAATACTGGCTAAATGCTATAATTTCTCCAGTGGATTGGGGCCTACACATCCTGTGATAATGTAGTGTGCCTCATTAAGAACCACATCTGTTGTTTTAACATGGTGAGATGTGTTCCACACTGGGCATGCGTACTCAGCAGCAAAGTAGCAAAGCGCAAGGTCTTCACTGTGTCTGGTTGTGATCCCCAGGTTGTGCCAGTCACCTTTCGTATGATATTATTTCTAGCACCTACTTTTTGCTTGATAGTCAACCTGGGAAGGAATCCCACTGGAGCATTGCAGCACACCAAAATATGTGATACCGGGGTAAAAAGAAGAGATCATGATAGCTGTGGACACACACTCAATTTTGATATTTCCAAATCCATGAAGTCTAGCAAGAGAAAAAAAACTTATTGAAAGCTAAAAACCTCTCTTCTGAAGCAGTTTGAAGGCCACTAAACAGACATAACCCCCAAGAGCTCCCAGAGGTTTAAACTCTTAAACAGAATTTATTAATCACATACTGTAGTAGTTATGTATCTGAAAATGAAGTTTGTAACCTCAGTCTTACTGCAGGAAAAAATGGTTCTAAAACACTTCCCACTGTGTAGTTTAGCTGAGAGCTTGGCAAATATTGGACTACAACTTCCTAAAATAGGCTTCTAGTATTGCAAGTCATCATCTAGATGGAGATGAGTCATTTTTCCAGTTCTATTCTAATTAGCCTAACTAGTGTTTCAAATGCTTTTTTCCCCCACCCATCTTTTACTCACAAAAACGTGGCAACTTTTCCTAATTATTAACTGCTCCTTGAGAAAAGAAGCTAAACGCTGCATAGCAATGACTACACCGATAGAGGTGGCCATCCATGAGCAACATACACCAATCTACTGGGTGGACACCAATCTACTGATGGACACGGGAGACCCTTACCTCGAGTTCTTTTTTAAGTCGAACCTCTCTCTCAGCAGCGAATTGAAGCTCGCTGGTCTGCCGCCTCAATGTGTCCGAACAGCTACTGTGCTCCAATTCCAGGTCTTGCATCTTCTTGTGAACGTTCTGCATTGCATTGTTGCTTTCCTGGTGGAACAGATGGTGGTCATGACATCAGCTGAAGACACAGCCACAAGGGTCCAAAGAAGATAATTTTCAGGAATAACAACAGAGGAAATGACCTATTCTTGGTTTCCTTGCTTCCTCTAATTCAGGTAGAAAATTATTTATTATTTATGTATTTATTTACAGTATTTATATTCCACTCTTCTCACCCCGCAGGGGACTCAGGACAGATCACAATGCACATATACATGGCAAACATTCAATGTCATAGAAACACAACATCTATAGACAGACACACAGAGGCTATTTAACTTCCAGCTTCATGAGGGTATGCTTTGTACTCCGGCCACCGGGGGAGCTGTTGCTTCACCATCCACTTGTGACACTGATGGAGTGCTTCCTAATTCTTTTGCATGCTGCTGGAGAGTTTTATGGCATCGTAAATTAGTTAAATTAGCCTCTCCGCATAAACAGAACCTAAATTTCCTGCTTGGCAGATGCAACAGTCTTTCAGGCTGCAAAGGTCAACAGCAAACTAAACAAATGGTCACGAGCTTACTACAATCTGGGCTGGCTTTGAACTCATGACCTTTCAGTCAGTAGTGATTTTTAATGCAGCTGACTCCCAACCGCTGCGCCACAACCCAGCTGGTTGATTATGTTATGTTATGATTATATTCTACCTTTCCCCTACAGACCTCAACCCAGCATGCAAGTTTCTCTTCCCTTCCCTCCATTTTATCCTTGCAACAATCCTGTAAGATAGGTTAAGGCTAAAATCAGACACAAACCTCATAGCTACACTATATATCATGTATAAATCTATAATTTTTAGTCACAAAATCAACCCCAAAAAAACTGGGTTGACTTATCTAGGATTCAATGTGAGTACTATATTTGCATGTTGACTTAAAAAGAAACCATCTCCTTCTCTGAGGGCCTTTCCACACAGCTATGTAACACATAATATTAAGGCAGATAATCCACGATATCTACTTTGAACTGGATTATCTGAGTCCACACTGCCATATAATCCAGTTCAATGTGGATTTTATGCAGCTATGTGTAAGGGGCTGGTTTACCATGGAAAAAGTAAGAGATTAGCCCATCCTAAGAGAACCAGAAAGAAGCACCAACCGCTCTATTATCTCCACCTTGTCACCGCTACTTGCTGTTTCGAATGCCTGGGAGGTGAAATGGCAGCAGAAAGAAATGGCTGACCTTCTGAGGAAGCATTGGTGCTTCCTTTCTCTGTAGTATGATCTTTGATTATCCATGGATTATATCAAAATCCATAATTTTGGCCCCAAAACCTGCCCTCAATGTACACATGAGGTTAACTTATACATGAGTACATGTAGCTAAGTGTAGGTCTGAACCCAGTTTTCTTTAATCCTAGCTCAGCTCTCTAAACATTACACTGGTACTTATATTCCTTATGATCTTTTAGATAATATATCAACAACATGCAGTTTCCCGTCCACAGAAAGGGCTCGGCTTGTAGTATATGCATTGCCATCACAAAAACATCTGTGAGGGCCCTTCCACAGCCATATAACCCACAATATCAAGGCAGAAAATTCCACAACTTTGAACTGGGTTATCTGAGTCCACAGTGCCATATATTCCAGTCCAAAGCAGAAAATGTAGGATTTTATTCAGTTGTGTGGAAGTGGCCTTAGTTAAAATGAAATGTTTAAGTTTTGACTGTGTTTTCTGCAAGTAACTCATATTTCTGTCGATTACTAATGCCCACCATTGTGACATTAGACCAGGCATGGGCAAACCTTCTAACTTGGGGGCTGCATGATGGGCTGAAGCAGGGTGGACAGGCTAGGAGGGAGGGGGTTGATGGTAGACGGGAGAGAAAAAGTGTATCCATGAGACCCCATATTGCCTACTCTTGATATAGAATCCTAGATTCCTAGAGCTGGAAGAGACCCCCAAGGACCATCCAGTCCAACCCCCCCCCCCCCCCCCCCCGCCATGCAAGAAGGCATAATCAAAGCACTCCTGATAGACAGCCTTTGTGGAAAAGCCTCCAGAGTAGGAGACTCCACCAGACTCTGAGGCAGTCTATGCCACTCTACAACAGATCTTACTCTCAGGAAGTACTTCCTAATCTTTCATTGGAAATCATTGCTCCCTTGTGCCCTGGTCTCTAGAGCAGCAAAAAGTCAGTTTCCCCCCTCCCCCTTCTCAATGGGACACCATTTTAAATCTTGGTTCTCATGTCCCCTCTCAACCATCTCTTCTCCCAGCTAAACTTCCCCAGAAGGAAAGGAGGAAGGAAAAAGAGAAGGGAGGGAGGGAAGAAGAGAAGGATGGAAGGAAAGGAGGGTGGAAGAGAAGCGAGGGAAGCGAGGGAGGAAAGAGAGAAAGAAGGAAAGAAAAAAGGGAAGGAAGGAAGAAAAGAAGGGAGGGGAAAGAGAGAGAGGGAAGGAGGGAGGAAAGGAAGGAAGAAAAGGATGAAAGGGAATGGAGGGGGAGGAAAGAGAGAAGGGAAGGGAGAAAAAGAGGGAAGAAAGGAGGAGGGAGGAAAGAAGGAAAGGAGAAGAGAGAGGGAGGGAGGAAAAGAGGAAGGAGAAGGAGGAAGAAGGGAAAGGGAATGGAGGGAGGAAAGGGAGGGAAGGAAAGAAGAAGAAGGGAGGGAGGGAGAAAGAGGGGGAAGGAAGGAAGAGGGGAGGGAAGGAAGGAAGGAAGGGAGGGAGGGAGGAAGGAAGGGAGAAGGAGGAAGGAGGGAAGGAGGGGAAGGGGAAGGAGGAGGAAGGAGGAGGGAGGGAGGGAAGGAGGGAGGGAGGGAGGGGAGGGAGGGAGGAAGGAAGGAAGGGAAGGAAGGAAGGAAGGAAGGAAGGAAGGAAGGAAGGAAGGAAGGAAGGAAGGAAAAAGAGGGAGGGGAGGGAGGAAAGGGGAAGGAAGGAAGGAAGGAGGGAGGGTGGGAGGGAGGGAGGGAGGGAGGGAAGGAGAGGGAGGGAGGGAGGAAGGAGGGAGGGAAGGAAGGAAGGGAGGGAGGAGGGAGGGAGGGAGGAGGGAGGGAGGGAGGAAGGAAGGAAGGAAGAAAAGAGGAAGGGGGAGAAGGAAGGAGGGAGGAAGAGGAAAGGAAGAGAAGGAAGAAGGGAGAAGGAAGGAAGAAGGAAGGAAGGAAGGAAGGAAGAAGAAAGAGAGAGGGAGGGAAGGAAGGAAGGAAGAAGGAAGGGTAGGAAGGAGGAAGGAAAGAGAGGAAGGAAGAATAGGATGGTGTGAGAGAGGAGGGTCTGAGAAAAGAGCCCAGGGGGAGGCATCCGGCCCCTGAGCCTGGCTTTGCCCATACCTGCATTAAACCCATTGCTTGGGGCAACACTGGGGGAATAAATACTCTATAGAGATGTTCTAACCTCTCCATACATTGAAAAGTGGGCACACTCTTGGGACGAGGATGACTGGCACAGTAAATAATCGGCAAAAGCTTTTCAGTGAAAACTAAAAGCAAAACACTTGTAATTTTCAGGCCCGCATGTTCTCACTACAACAGATTACAAACAATTTAGAAAATGGGATACTGTGCATTGGTTATTAGTCTGACTGCACACTCAGCATGCTCCGTTACTATATCAGTAAAAACAAGCTCTGCGGGGCATGTATTTACCGCTGTTGTTAACTGCCCAATACAATGCTTTCTCCATCATTAATTCCTAAACATGTTGGTCTAGTTTTAGCACAGATGTATATAGCTCCTCTGTGAGTAGAAGAGAAATATATAATTGCCTCAATTGCTTGATAAGAATCCAGCCACAAGATCAGGGTATTGAAAGCAGCCCTTACAACTACCAATTTAGTTCACCCTCCAGCACTGTTTTGCAGTCTCAATCTCAGACAGAAGGCACCTGAAGGAAAGGTTACTGTAGGGTCACACTGCCAACACAAACACAATCTATTAAGAGGTCACAAAATTAGCACTCTCCCTGCAGTGTTATGACAACTGACCCTCTGATCCCAATCATAGTTTGATATACTAGATTGACTCCTGCTTCCTGTTCTAATAGAATTGCGTCTTTTCCTAGTGCCATTCTGACAGTAGTCCAATAGTACCGTAACTCCCGGATTCTCCAACACATGGGAGACGCAATCCAAAAAATATGCTTTCCAATTCTGAAGTATTATAAAGCACCATATTCCTCAAGTTTCTGTATGGACCCAGCACCTATGTCTCGTCCCTTCCCCCCACAACCACCATTTGAATATGATGAAAGACCTAGATTGATTTTAAGTTAGTTAATTTTCATTGGCTAATAACAAAAGGAGTACTGTATTTCATTGCATAACAGTTGCAGCCCCCCTCCCCCTTTTGTGGAAAAAATGAAGTTAGACTATTATGTGATGAAAACTTTTTCCAGTTACAGGGCTTCATTTGACTACCAGTTGAGTGAAGCCCCATAGCTAGAAATAGGGCAGGCGTGCAGGGGAGTGAATTCATGTGGGGGAGACAAGCCCTATAAAACCTCCGAGAAGGGGCAAGTGTGCGGGGGAGTGAATTTTCACTTCCACACAGACATGCTCCATCTCAATGGTGCTATGGGACCTGACTTAGCTGGCAGTCAAATCAAGCCCCATAGCACCAAAAGAGCAGCCCCACCCTTTGTTTACTCGCTCGGGCAAGTGAACCAAGGATGCAACTATTTGTGGGGAAAAGCAAAACTCTTATTTTGACACCACGAAAATCAGGGTGCGACTATTCTGCAATGAAATATGGGCAAAACTACTTTGCAAATCATAAAAGATAGTTCAAAAGATACTCCAGTACAATAAATACTAAAAGGAAAAATCTTAAGTAACACTTTAGTCTGGTGTTAATGCAAAGAAAGCTTGCCATAAAAATACAGTCTGCTTACTATGAGAAGCACAAAGTCACAATTTTCCAAATTGGAAGAAATATAAGTACCTACCCTCTGGGCTGTCTCTAAAGATCCAGACAAATTTTCTCAAGATTAAGAAACAGCTCTTTTATTTGTATCACAAAGCTGATTTATCCTGCCACTTGCCTATTAGTAATATGTCTCGCAAGGGCAACAAATTTTATGTAAAAACAAGATTGCAAGGACATGGGAGATCATGCATATTGAGGATGAAAGTTGTGCCACTTTCCAAAAACTGCTGAACTGCAACTCTCAATATGCCTCAACTTTGTCTATAATTGTCTTGCACTGATAGAAACTGCAATACAGCAACATCTGGATGTGTGCACAATTCGTGCCCCCAAAATAGATAATCCTTGAGTGACCCTGAACCTGCTGCATCTACTCAAGGCACACGTGCAATCTGCAATTATACCCTAAATATCTCCCATGAGGAGTGTGCCTCAAAATAACTGAAACAGAAAGGAAAGGGGAAAAATATTTCGGCTATAAACTGCTCTTCTAATGTTTATGCATGTTGTAGGCAGTTTAACACATTTTCCATCGGGTTGCTGTGCGTTTTTTGAGCTGTATGGCCATGTTCCAGAAGCATTCTCTCCTAACATTTCGCCTGCATCTATGGCAGGCATCCTCAGAGGTTGTGAGGTCTGTTGGAAACAAGGACAAGTGAGGTTGAGGGGTCTGAGGATTCCTGCCATAGATGTGGGCGAAATATCAGGGGAGAATGCTTCTGAAACATGACCATACAGCCTGAAAAACGCACAGCAACCCAGTGATTCCAGTCATGAAAGCCTTCAACAACACATTTTCCATCTCTACAACATCAATCTTGATCACAATAACCAGACCTCTACACAATATTAAGTTTTTCTTTCTACACCAGTCACAAACAGGGTAATATTTTCAAAGAGAAATAAAGTAGTGCTGTGGAGAGAGGAGTTTGCTAGGAGATGGCATGGGCATTTTATTTTCACTTAATAGGGTGTACTGTTTTTATTGATGTAAATAGTCAATTTATTATTTTCCAACTGCTTTCACGGCAGTCAGACTGCTACATATTTTAGTGGTGGTGTAATACTGTAAACAAGTAGATAAAACAATGATTTGCCTTTATTGTCAAAGGCTTTCATGGCTGGAATCACTGGATTATTGTAGGTTTTTCGGGCTATAAGACCATGTTCTAGAAACATTCTCTCCTGACGTTTCGCTTGCATCTATGGCAAGCATCCTCAGAGGTTGTGAGGATGCTTGCCATAGATGCAGGCAAAACGCCAGGGGATAATGCTTCTAGAACATGACCATATAGCCCGAAAAACCTACAACCACCCAATGATTTGCCTGTCAAAGTTGAGCCATTCCAACCTAAAAAATAGTTCAGGGACTCCTGCTCAACAGAATTGCAAACCTAGCTGTTACAAATCAACTTTAAACTCGACATGTAATGCTGTGCTGTTGGCCACAAGATGATGCTGTTGTATTTGCTATAGACCTTCCTATCTCTCATTAATAGACAAGGATAGGTAGAGATGCCTTTCAGAGAGAGACTCACGCTGTGGCATCTGTTCCAAAACAAAGTCAGATTAGTGCTCCTTACTTCCTAATATTATGTAGTGGCAATTGATGGCTACTCTCCAAATGGTCCAAGATGGCATTCCTGTCTTCCACAGACAGTAATTTTAGTTCCAGTCTCCCAAACTTTTCTGGCTAACATTGGAATGTCATGGTTCTCATCTTTTAAAAAGGGTATGAATAAGCTTGTTTGTTTGAAGCTTGTGACTTGACTACTTACATGTAACAGAAGTCAATATATTCAGACTAATATTTGAACACATAGCACATTTTACAATGAATAACAGAAAAAGCTCTGAAATAGATCTACATCTCTTATATTTTAAACATGTAGCTAAATATCACTACCCAAGAACTGAGCATTCATAGGAAATTATCAAGATAAACAAAATGGCGAAGCTTTGTGTTGTTGTCTTTGCACTTTTTGTATATTGCGTGTTTGCACCTTTGAGTACTTTGTGAGCCGCCCCATGTCTCTCCAGGAGATGGTGGCGGGATATAAATAAAGTTTACTATTGTGTTGCTGTGAGTTTTCTGGGCTATATGGCATTCTCTCCTGACGTTTCACCCACATCTGTGGCAGGCATCCTCAGAGGTTGTGAGGTCTATTGGAAACAAGGGAAGTGAAGTTTATATATCTGTGGAATGTCCAGGGTGGGAGAAAGAACTCTTGTCTGCTTTAGGCAAGTGTGAATGTTGCAATGGGCCACCTTGATTAGCATAATGGCTTTGCAGCTTCAAAGTTGCAACAACTGCATTGGCTACCAATAGAACATTGGATCTCTTACAAAATACTGATCCTGACATTTAGAGCTCAAAATGGCCAAGGACCTTTATATCTTAGGGACCACCTCATTCCTTTTTTCCATCAGTAGTTACCTCGATCCACCCAAGAAAATCTCCTATACATACCGGGCCCTTGGGAGGTATATATTAGAGCAATGTCGGAGCTGTGACCTTTTGTAAAGGCGCTCAAGACTTGGCTCTTTGGTTGTGCATTTAAGTAAAGTGATCAGATCTAATTCGCCAAATAGTCACTGTTGTATCTTTTTATGTTGAATGTTTTTATATTGTGTAAATGCTATTTTAAATTGTAAGTCGCTCAGAGCACCTTGGTGGAGAGCGACTAATTAAGAAATAAAGTGAAGTGAAGTGAAGTGAAAAGTCTGGCTGGTTGCTGCCTGGGGGATCAAAATCTGGCTATCAGTATTAAAAAAAACTCTAAAATCAGGACAATAAATAAAGCGCAACACTCAAAAAACAGGAGAATTCCAGACAAGAATCAATCAGGGCCTGTTAACATCTCCCAACAAAGGATCCCCCAGGAAGTAACCAGACAGACTTTGAAGCTGCAAAGCCATTAAATGCGAATCAAGGTGGCCAATTGAAACATTCACACTTGCCTCAAGCAGACAAGAGTTCTTTCTCCCACCTTGGACATTGCGCAGATATATAAACCTGCAACCATTATGAATTATCCCATTTGAAAACTGAAAAACAAAAAAAACAGCTTCCAGTTTCAATGTCCAATTAAATGATTTTCATGGGCCCTGAATGGAAATCTCACTTTAAGAATATATTAATTAAAGCAGGCATGGGCCCAATATGGCCACATGCACTCATCTGCCATGTCCACACTGAAGCCTCAAGTCCCGCTCTGATCAGCTCATAGCATATGCCTGTGACTAATATTAATCAGGTCATCTAGGATGCAGAGTTGGGTATCATGCCCTATTCAATCCCTGGCTTGTTGCTTTCTTTTTCTTTCAAAAAATAAAAATGATAATTATTTTGCAGGAAAGGCCCACATTGATCTTCTAAACAGGTCAGGGGTTGGGAGAAGGCAAACTATCTTGCTCCCTAGAAAGCATATTTGGCTGTTGGAAGAGGAGTCCTGGAGTAAGGGGACACTTAAAGTTAGGTATGGTGTTTGGTGATCCATAAGGCAAAATAGACCCTGGAAGCTTCCCACACCTGAGCGATTATCCTCAAGGAAAGTATTAAACAAATATTAAAGGTATCCTATAAAACAGATACAGTTGCGTTTAATAATCAGTACTATTGTTTAACATGTCAGTAATACCTGCAACAGTAACTGGAGTTCATTTCTTTCTCCTTTCCACAGATCTGCCTGACACCTAAACTCCTCTGCTGCCGCTTCCCTGATCTCTGACTCTATCATGCTCTTCTCCTTCTTCTGACGTTCCAGGGTCCCCTTGGTATGGATACAGTTGAACTTCAGTTTAACTAAAATCATAATACATTCTTGAAATTGAAAGTACCAGTTTCCTAAACATCTGATTCTGCCTTTTGCTGCTTTCCTTGCTGGTTCAGCTCTACATGGAGAGCGTGCCAATTCTCTAGCAGCACTCAATAGCTTGCTAGTGGGATAAAATTGGTTCCTTTGGATGAAGTACAACCCTCCGTTTGCATAAAAATGCTTTATCCTACAGCCGGCATTTTCCAAAGACTGTGGGCACAAAGGCATTGTATAGTACTATGGTTTGATGTGTCCTCCACCCAGCCACCAACTTTGCAAAAGAACTAGCAGCAAGAGAACAGGAAGAGCCAGAATGTTATTGTTCTGGACAAGTTACCCGAGATTCTTAAGATTTAATAAAATGAGTTATAAAAAACTATATCAATAATAGTAATAATAGCCAACGGGTATATCTTAGGACTATAGCAACAAGATCGGGAAATCTAGGCATTTGAACCTTGGTAAAGGTAAAAATTTCTCCTTGACATTAAGTCTAGTCGTGTCCGACTGGGAGATGGTGCTAATCTCCATTTCTAAGTCGAAGAGCCGCCATTGTCCATAGACACCTCCAAGGTCATGTGGCCAGCATGACTGCATGGAATGCCATTACTTTCCTCCTATTGATCTGCTCCCATTTGCACGTTTTCGAACTGCTAGGTTGGCAGAAGCTGGGGCTAACAGTGGGAGCTCACCCAGCTCCCCAGATTTTAACCGCCAACCTTTTGATCAGCAAGTTGAGCAGCTCAGCGGTTTAACCTGCTGTGCCACCAGGGGTTCCTTTCAATTGTATAATTGATTAATAAAAATAGTATAAATACATTGAAGAAGAAAATGGGGGAATGGGAGGAAACCAAGGATATGATTTTATATTCCCTTCACAACTTGAAAAGAGGCACACCTTCAAGATGTTGTCCAGTTTAGTCCTCTCCTTCAAAATTGTCTCATATTCGCTATTGCATGTCTTGATTATGAGCTCCTTTTCTGATATGTCACTCATGAGTCTCTGCTGTTTTTCATCCCAGTGCTGCTTAGCAATGTGATAGCTTCTCTCTGTCTCATTCAGCTTCTGTTGGTAAGCCCTGACAGTTGCTATCAAGAAAAGGGGAAAAGGCAAAGGTTTGGTTGAAAAGAAAGCACTGCTGAAATATTGAAAGCCTCCTAGGTTTTCTATGATTTTAAACCACAAGAACAGAACAGCAATAATCTGGGGAAGTCGCTGTTCAATAGAAATTAAGTAATGTATACAAAAATCCACCTCATGTTTTGGCATGTTGAATAAACATGTCAAATCAACAAATAATCCAATTAAAATTAGATAAAGATTTAAAATAAATGATCTGACAAGAGAAATTGATGCAATTATAATGATGCAAAGTGAGAAGAGAAAAAGAACCTGAGATAATACAAGAAGATATAAGAAGATACGACTACTAGGTTAAAAATTAGTTGACAATAACACTCCTCTCTTTGTTATAGAGTGGTGGTCCTCAACCTGGGGTCCCCAGGTGTTTTGGTCTACAATTCCCAGAAATTCCAGCCAGTTTACCAGCTGTTAAGATTTCTGAGAGTTGAAGGCCAAAACATCTGGGACACACAGATTGAGAACCACTGTTATAGAGGGCATATGGAACTTTTAATACTTGAAGTAATGTATTTTATATAAGTATAATAGATGTAATAATTGCAACGTTGTACACTGCCTTTTTCACTGCCCCCCCCCCCCTGGTCAGAAATATTATATTATATTAAATACACAAATATGAATGAAGCACTGAAAGGGTTAAATGGATGCAATGACTCAGCAAAAGCTGTAGTTCTATATAAGCAAGTGTGTCTGTCGCTTAATAGTCGTCAGTCTGAGGTAGCCCTCAGTCTGTGAGAGGTCTCTGTGGGAGAAAGGTCTCAGTATGAGAAGGCTTCAGTGTTAGTTTGCCTCAGTGGGAGAAAGGCCTCAGTCTGAGAAGGCCTCAGTGGGAGAAAAGCCTCAATGTGAGTAGGCCTGGTGTGAGAAGCTTTGATGGGAGAAGCCCCAGGTTGAAAGCCATTGTGTGTGAAGGTTGCTGTGTGTAAAAAACGACAGTGTGAAGTTCCTGTGTAATTTCAGTTTGAGAACTTTATTTGTGTTATGGAAACCTTGTTCTTGTAAACAATGCAACTATTTTATTTTTCTATAATATATAGAAAAATAATATAGCCTCCTATGGAAGAGATAACATTGGTCTGTGTGTTTTTGTTCTTTTTATCGCTTTGGGCTACTGATATTGGGTTATGCTGCTGCTAAATTACTCTGCTGTACATTTATGAGGAGGGTCTTTTGTTAATAAACCCACTAACCCAACTCCCTCATCCCCTCTCCTCTGTGATATTGGTAAATATTTAAATTATTAACAGTAACTCTATTGTCCCCGTTCTCCTCTTTATTTTTTATCCTTGTCTTTTGTACCCAATTTTCTCTTTGTGTGTGTGTGAAAAAAAATATATATGTTTAATAAACATCACTGTTTGACAAAAAAAATCAACAGTAGATTTGTAAATGATAATAAAAATTACTAAACTATAACAGTGCCAGTAGTGTTTAGATCATCTATGATCATAGCTTTAAAAGGTATATGTCATGTTTGCAGGCGCCCCCAGTGGCACAGTGGGTTAAATCCTTGTGCTGGCAGGACTGAAGACCGACAGGTCGCAGGTTCGAATCCAGGGAGAGCACGGATGAGCTCCCTCTATCAGCTCCAGCTCCTCATGTGGGGACATGAGAGAAGCCTCCCACAAGGATGGTAAAACATAAAAAATATCCAGGTAACCCCTGGGCAATGTCCTTGCAGATAGCCAATTCTCTCACACCAGAAGCAACTTGCAGTTTCTTAAGTTGCTCCTGACACGACCAAAAAAAAGTTGAAATATGCATCCTAGATGTCTGTCTTTTTACTTGGGATATAGGATGTCTAAATGAAGCAAGAAACTGGAGGTACAAATAAAAGGCATTGTGTCTTCTTATGTCACCCACTCTGTGTTCGGCCATTCTTCCTTGTTAGTATGCATTTTGAATCTTACCTTGAAGGTGCTCAATGTGTGTGTTTGCTTCACCTAATTTGTCTTCTGATGTGCACCGTTCAATGCCAACTTCCTTCCTTGCAACAGCAAGTTCATACTCCAAGCTTTGTCGAATTGCTTCACCTTTCTCAACTTCTGCTCGCAACCTGGCAATCTGGCTTTCATAGTTTGAGAGCTGTAAAAGGAATTGTTAGAACAAACAACAGGTTGACATTATCAATATTCAATTAACACATCATTTAAGAATGTGTAATTTTAAACCATTTTACAGTCAAAACAGTGGCGGTTTTCCAGATGTCACTGGACATCAGTCTCTGTCCTAACCATTGGCTATGCTAACTACAATGGATAGGAGTTGCAGTCCAAGAAATGGACTGCAACTCCCATCCATTGTAGCTACCAGTTGATCACTTCAAAATAGAGGACACGTAAAAAACATTGTGGTAACTCAAAATTGGATTTAAACCAGGGGTAAAAATAATGTGGACTTCCAGATATTGTGTTGCTGTAGGTTTTCATGGCCAGAATCATGGCAGTGCATAAAGAGCAGCACTCAAAAACAGGGGAATTCCAGACAAGAATCAATGAGGGCCAGCTAATACCTCCGAACAAAGGATTCCCCCAGGCAACAATCAGCCAGGCTTTGAAGCTACAAAGCCATTAAATGCTAATCAAGATGGCCAATTGCAACATTCACACTTTCTTTAAGCAGACAAGCTTTCTTTCTCCCACTCTGGACATTCCATAGATATATAAACCTCACCTTCCTAGTTTCCAACAGACCCCAGAACCTCTGAGGTTAAACCACTGAGCTACTGAACTTGCTGACCAGGGAGTGGAGTGAGCTCCCACTGTTAGCCCCAGCTTCTCCCAATCTAGCAGTTTGAAAACATGCAAATGTGAATAGATCAATAGGTACCACTTCGAAGGGAAGGTAATGGCAATAATGCTGGTCACATGACCTTGGAGGCATCTATGGACAACGCCGGCTCTTCAGCTTAGAAAAGGAGACGAGACCCACCCTCCAGAGTCGGACACAACTAGATTTAATGTCAAGGGGAAACCTTTACCTTTACCACCACACAAAGATTACCTTTAAAGACATCAGGCAGTGACATCTGAGCCATCTGCACCAAGGATGAAGCAGCCAAAGAAGAGTAATTCAGAAGTTGTAGAAATGTGATGGCAGGTGTTTGTGTCAACAACAACAGTGCCAGATCACACAACGAAGTAAACAGTTTGTATAGAAGCATTCTGAATACAGAAGTACCGTACTTACTTCTGCATTATGTTTAGCGGTGATATCCAGTTTCTCTTTCTTAGCTTGATGAAGTTTTCTTCTCAAATCTTCCTTCGTTTCCATTTCTGGTTCGCAGCAATTGCGTTGGGATGTCTTTGCAGGCTGCCTAATTCATAATGCAAAAGACATTTAACTGGAGTCACTTTCAACTGTACCAGCTTTGATCTTTCAAGAAACCAAGACAGCAAAACCTACTCAGAAATAAACCAAAATATGTAAGATTTACTTCAAAGAAAATATTTAGGACTCGGCTTTATATAACCTCCAAATCATAATAATAGTATTCTAGATGAGATTATATACCATTGCTGGAGCGCATTCTCCATACAACAAGAGTAAGGGAACGCCAGACAACAAGAACCACCAAGGGGGATGTTTGGTAATAATCATGTAATAAGTTAGGGATGGGAATTATGAAACACTTCATATAATATTGCACTAGAAGTCTCAGCATGCTTTGAAAGGCATAGTTTCTGCCCTGTGTGCCCATGTGGGTGGCCAGATACAAACTAGATAGCTACATAGGAAGTCCATGCTTGTCATAAATATTTCAGTGTAAGGCAACAATTTAAATATTGGTCTAGGAATCACAGAGAACAGTCATAGAAACCCAGTATGAGATCAGCAAGTCACTCTCTCTCGGCAATGGAAAACCTCCTCTGAATAAAGCCTACTAGGAAAGCCCAAGGCAAGGGGTAACTATTGATCTGAAGGCACACAGGTTGTGGTGGTTCTGCATCTTCAAATTGATTCCAGCTTATGGCAACCCTAAGACTTTCAGGCTTCTAGTCCAACACTCAAACCAAGCTGTCATGGGAATGACATGTGGTTCAATGAGCTCTTAAATACAATCACTAAAGGTGCAGAAGCATTGTTTTCATTTCCATCTAGCCATCCCAACAAAGAATAGTCCCAGCTGGCCATGGATGGATTATCTCAAATTTCTAGCTAATGAGAAACAGAAGGCATAGCTGATTAGTTTGACATGTATCAAGCGAAAACAAGTTTACACCAGATAATTACAGCCTGCAAGTTAATCACTACAATGTTATTACTGCCGCTAGACAAATGAAACATATAATTGAATGTATGGGAAATATAAGTTTTTAGAGGTCAAATATTGTTTTTTACTCACAAACACTCATTCAGTATTCAGTATCTGAAATAATTATGGAAAGGCTTTTTAAAGAAGCCTGGTATCTGCTGGGGTCTGGTTCGAGGACACTCTGACAATACTAAAATCAGTGGATACCTTAGTGCCATTATATGCAATGGCATAGTAAAATGGTGTCATTTTTTTAAAATGGCAAAGTCAAGGTTTGCTTTGAGGTATAGAGAGAGACAGAGAGATATTCTAATCCATGAATGGTTGCACCCATGGATACACAATTCATGAACAACTGTACAGAGCTGCACCTTGATGCTTTGCAACTATTTCAAAACAGGGTACTGCTCCATTATCCGGGCAGAGGCCATTAGGGGAGACTAGAGAGGGAAGGATAGTCCATTTGACAGGGAAAGAGTTGAAGAGGAAAACAATTTCCCCCGTTTTTGCTGGTTATTCTCCCTCCTCACTTCCCTTATCATAAATTAGTGTTGTTTACACCATGGGGACATGAGTGGAGGAGGAATAACAGGAAAACAGAGAAAATTATTTTACTCTGAACCCACCCTCCACCCCTTTAAAATGGACTATCCTTCTCTCCCTCTAGCACTCCCTTGTGGCCTCCGCCTGGACAATAGAACAGTACCAAAAACAGTAACAGGGTAAAACCAAACACAGTGCATTAAAATCTGCATTATACAAAATGAGAGGAGGAATAGAAGACGAGGAAGGAAAAAAATAGCTTCATTCCTGGTAGGGTGCATAAATTTTCACTCATATGGCCCTAGCCCAGACATTGGTCTAAAAGTCTTAGATATCATAGGAAACTGCATTCTTCACTATGCTGTATATATGTTTATTGTCATCAGATATGATAGCAATTGCTTCCAATTGCACCATCTAAAATCAATGGGCTGAAGATTGTGCTGGTTGGTGGTAATCATGTTATATCCAGTGCACTTTTTTAGTATTTTATTTTAATACTACTGTGCCTTTCAGGAATGTACTAAAATTCTAAGAGAGACACTTAGACTACTCACAACCTCACAACTCACAATATGAATATGGATAATCTAATGCGCAAAATGTTGTGAGAGCAAATGGGTAAGGAGTGTGATGTAGTCATTGATTAGTACTGATAAAATTACAGAGGTGTTTCAGTTTTAGAAATCCAAACTTCCCCCACAGCTGGCCAAAAGGATGGGACAAAGATATCTTGCCTATAATCAAGAATTCCAATAAACACTTAAATTCAATTGCTAGTCTCAGCTAGATGACAACAACTGAATCATTTGGTTAATACAATGGTTCTGAACCTTTTTTTGATCAGAGACCACTTGACCAGGGACCACTTTGACCAGGGACAACTCTCCAACATTAGTACCAAAAGAGTTACGAATCAGTTTTTGGTAACTTTAGATTCAGTTTTGTTATTTGGGGTGCTGATTCAGAAAACTGCATGCGATAGACCACATCAGCTCTAGTTTCTGATACAGAACATATGCCATCCAGTAGTCACCATCTGCTCACCCACAGAAAACCATATTTAATAATCTAGTGTTGATGTGGTAGTAGTAATCTTTTGTAGTCAGCCTCTCCCCTCATGACACCCCTGTTGCCTCGGCACTATAAGAGGGTTTTGCAAGACCAGTCATTCTCATTGCTGTGTGGTTTCGAGGCAATGGTGTAGTAATTTTGAGGCTGCAGACCATATTTTCGTTCTTGGGGACCACTGGTGGTCCACAGACCACAGGTTGGGAAACACTGGGTTAATGGTAGGTCACAAAACACAGGGATACACCATGGATTCAGTTGGTTTCTATGGAAGTAACAATTGGATTTAAGCTTAAAAAAAACTAAGTATGGGTTTATTTCTCAGATCCACCAAGTGGACAAATTCTTAACAGACAGAACAATTCACAGGACACATCCACACACACACTACTGGATTTTATTTTAATTAAAGAAATCCAACTCACCGTTTCGTTTCAGGGGCCATATAACTGACCTGGCAATTCATGACAACTAATCTTCTTCCTTTTATTTTACATCCTCTGAACAATGACCGTAATCTTCATGATTAATATTCTTTGAAGCAACAGGGAGACTAATTGTTCCCACACATCTTGAGGCCGCATTAAACCCTATGATACAGATATTTAAATTGACACTTTAATGACATTCTTATCCTAATGAAGTGATAAAGAGTTTTATTCACAAATAATAAGCTATTACACAGCGTAGAGTCATCTATCATTCAAACAGTACAAAAACCATTGCTATTGGACAATAGATTGCTGAAACCTATAGGCCGCAGTTTGAGGATGCCTGACCTAAATATATCATTCTACCAATGGAGATAATACCAGTTTTTGTATTGTATTTTATATCAAGTGAACTAATGACACCCTAGATAGATCGTTGGCATTTTTAAAAATCTTCCCTTTTTACCATAACATGAAGAGGGATTCAAAAAGCTACTTGGATCAAAACTTCTGTGATTACTGTAGATAATAATAATAATACTTTATTTATATACCGCCACCATCTCCCCAAAGGGACTCAGGGCGGCTCGTAAAAGCATTCAATAGTGCAAACTTATAAAATACAACAAAAAAACATAAGGAAAATAACACAATAACAATAAAATCCACATAAAAATTACATAAAACAGCATATAAAGCCCCTACCAACTTAAAAGATTCAATAAAACACAGCAGAAGCTGCAGATATAAAAAGAAACTGCAATTAATATCAGTCCCATAATAATCTGTTGTCAATTTTTGTAGCATCCCAAAGAGATTGTTTGTTTCCCATTTCATTCATCTTTCTACAAAAGTAATGATTCCAGCATTTAGCAATGTGATGTTATTAATGCTTATGTTCACTCTCAGATGTATCAATGTTTCTTGTTGTCACTGTTGTTGAGTGCCTTCAACTTGCTTCCAACTTACGGGTACACCATAAGGGTCCTATCGCAAGGTTTTCTTGGCAAGATTTATCCAAAGGGGGTTTGCTATTACCTTCCTATGAGGTTGGGAGCATGACGTGCCCCAAACACAGTGGGTTTTCATGGCCAAGTGACCATTCGAGCCCTTGTAGCTCAAATTATACTCAACTATAATGGTTCTTAAAGTATTGGTTGCTTAGGGCCCTTCCACATAGCCCTATATCCCAGAATATCAAGGTGGAAAATCCCACATTATCTGAGTGTGGACTCAGATAACCCAGTTCAAAGCAGATATTGTGGGATTTTCTGCCTCAATATTCCGAAATATAGGGCTGTGTGGAAGGTCCCCCACATCCCTAATAGACACCAGATCCCATGTAATCTTGAAAGCTAAGATGGGCCAGCTTTGGCTAGCATGTGAATGGGAGACCACCATCTAATACCAGGTGCTGCAGATTATTATTTCAGAGGAAGGAACTGGCAAAACCACTTGAGTCTTCCTTGCCTAGGGGCCCTTCCACACAGCCATATAACCCAGAATATCAAGGCAGGACATCTCACAATATCTGAACTGGGATATATGGCAGTGTGGACTCAGATAACCCAATTCAAAGCAGATGTTGTGGGATTTTCTGCCTTGATATTCTGGGTTATATGGCTGTGTGGAAGGCCCCTAAGTCCACACTGCCATATATTCCAGTTTAAAGCAGAAAATGTGAGATTTTATTCAGCTGTGTGGAAGGGTCCTAGGAAAACCCTGTGAAATTGATTAGATTTCCATTAAATGACATATCTTGACAGCTGTAAATTTTATTGATGTGTTTGACCAAGCCTATTCTGAAGAACATTCTGGTGAAATTAAGTGGTGCCTACTCCCAGGTCAGTAAGTCTCAAAATAAAACAGATCAGAAACTCATTTGCAATCAGGATTCCACATGACATGCTGAGAACCGCTTTGAGTCCCCCTCGGAGTGAGAAAAACGGTATACAAATACTGTAAATAAATAAATAAATAAATAACCATACCAATAAGGGAACTATACATATTCACCACATTACAAAAGACATTATCAATTACTGGGTCGCTGTGAGTTTTCCGGGCTGTATGGCCATGTTCCAGAAGCATTCCCTCCTGACATTTAGCCTGCATCTATGGCAAGCATCCTCAGAGGTTGTGAGGTCTGTTAGAAACTACGCAAGTGGAGTTTATTTATCTGTGGAATGTCCAGGGTGGGAGAAAGAACTCTTGTCTGTAAGAGGCAAGTGTGAATGTTGCCATTGGCCACCTTGATTTGCATTTAATAGCCTTGCAGTTTCAAGGTTGCGGTCTGGGGGATCCTTTATTGGGAGGTGATTAGCTGGTCCTAACCTTATTTGCCTAGTTTCAAACAGACCTCACAATCTCTGAGGATACTTGTCATAGATGTGGGCAAAACGTCCGGAGATAATGCTTCTGGAACATGGACATACAGCCCGGAAAACTCACAGCAACCCAGGGCCATCCACACATCCTTATATCCCAGGATATCAAGGCAGAAAATCCCACAATACCTGCTTTGAACTGGGTTATCTGAGTCCACATTCAGATAATATGGGATTTTCTGCCTTGACATCCTAGGATATAGGGCTGTGTGGAAGGGCCCCCAGTGATTTTGGCCATGAAAGTCTTTGACAACACATTATCAATTAGTTTGTTTAAGGATAGGAGACATGGTTCTGAAACCTCCAAAAAGTGTCAGGATGAATCTCTACTGCTTCAACTGTCTCAGCATGTGAGAGTTGTAGTTTGGTGAGGCTCAAGCACTCTTTGGCAGAGAAGGCTAAAGGCATTGCAAAACTGCCAGGATACCATAGCATTGAGCCACAGCAGTTAAAGTGGTGTCAAACTGAATTAATTCTATAGTGTAGATACAATGTGCAAAGTTCTTTTGTTGCTTAAAATAGTTGCCAGACAGATATTTAAGTAATATTTCCAAAACAACATAACATTTAATTTGTTACCATCCATCCTGCAAAAAGGTTTAGGATATTTTCCATTTGGGGGGAAATTAGCACTTTGTTCTCCTTGTATCTGTACGTGAAACAGCTGATCCTTTGACAACCAAAGCTGGCGTGCATGACAACAGCACAGAGTCTAAGCTGGTGCATCCACACTGTATAATTAATGCAGTTCGATACCACTTTAACTGAGATGCTTAAGTGCTAGGGCATCCTGGGAGTTGGAGTTTTGCAAGGTCTTTACAGCCTTCTCTTCCATTCAACAAACTGCAAATCCCATGATTCCAATTAAAGTTGTGTCAAACCGCATTAATTCTACAATGCAGATGCACCCCTCACCCCCATCATTTTGCCAACTCGATCCAAATCAGAGCTTGAAGGCTTAGCCTTCCTTAAGAGCCACCTCCAATCCCCTGTTAATCTCCACGAGCCACTGAATACACAGAGATATCTCACTGCCCATCATTCCCATTGCCCTTCCTTACCTGCCTCCTTTGGCTCTACTTTAGAGGAAAAGCAAGCAACAGGGACAGAAACAGGGTCAAAAGCAGCAGCAGCAGCAGCAGCAGCAGGGCAGTGTGCCGCCGGGCGCTAGGACCCGGGGGCTAACTGGAAAGCCAAGCCACTCCCACTACTCCCCGAGAGCGGCCTTGCAACGGCTACTTCCGGTAACGGAGAACAGGCAAGTGGCGACCAAGGAGGATAACAACATCCCGCCTTCCGGCTTCAGAACGCCCCTCCTCATTGGAAGAGCCAGGGATTGTGACGCCAACGCGTTCCAAATGGGTGGAGACAAGCTGATCCCGCTTCTTCTGGCGCTTTAATGCAGAAGCCGTTAAAGCACAGCTGCTTACTGTCTAGCCCTTTAAATGAAGGTGTATCTCCTCTACAGTTTGACGCCGCTTTAATTGACATGGCTCCATATTATGGAACCATGGGAGCTGTAGTTTTGCAAGGTCTTCTCTGCCAAGGAGTACTAGTCCAGTGGTTCTCAACTTGGGGTCTCCAGATGTTTTGGTCTGCAACTCCCAGAAATCCTAACAGCTGGTAAACTAGCTGGGATTTCTGGGAGTTGTAGGCTAAAACACCTGGGGACCCACAGGTTGAGAACCACTGTACTAGTGTATCAGCAAACTACAAATCCCAGGATTCCATAGCATGGAGGAATGGCAATTCAAGTGTGGTCAATCTGCATTCTGGACAAATCTCATCCAGAAAGCCCTGCCTTAGGGTTGCCAGCAGTTGGAAGGACATGGAGGCAATGCAAACAACAAGGCATACTAACAGTTCTTTTATGACTCTAATTGAGATTAATTTCACTACTTTTGCAATGTGGCTTTGTGTATAGCTGCAGGGGGCTATGGACTCATGACTTTGTTTTGTACCAGAGCTGAGTGGCTTATTTATTTATTTACAGTATTTATATGCTGCCCTTCTCCCCGCAAAGGGGACTCAGAGCGGCTTACAAGGTATATATACATACATTATATTATTAGGATAGTACAATATCAGTATTAAATATTACTATATTGTACTATACCATTATATTGTAGTATTATTAGTATTATATTGCATTACATAATAGTATTATAAATATATGTATATTATATTATACAGGGTGAGGCAGCTTAACTTCCTTTTTTCCAAACTTAATAAAACCCATTGGATAAATCAGAAATTTGTATGTATTTTTTGTAATGTAGGCACATACCTAAATTTTTGTTTTACATAGTTTTGAAGATCAAATTAGGTAGGTGACGTCCCCCATTCTCCATACACTAAACCGATTTCTGGCGTTTGTTATGACGGCGGCACACTGCAGGCTTTATGTTGGCAATTTATTGGTCTTCAAATCTTGTAGGGTCCTTGGATGGTTCACATAAAAACGGGATTTCAAAAAACCCATAGAAAAAAATCACAAGGGGCCAAATCTGGAGAGTGGGCTGGCCACTCCAAATCCGCTCGAAAAGTAGGCCTCAACGGCAAAAGCACACTCCTCACTGTTCCAACACAGTGAACTGTGTCAGGACAAACTTTATACTCCCGGCTCCCGCCTCTCGAACAAGACCACTAGCGCTCGCCTGGCCCCCTCCCTCTCCGTTCTGGCCAAGAGTGGCAGTTGGTTCTGGGGGGAAGGGGTCCCCAACTGATGACATCTGCAGGAGACAAGATGGAACTGTCCCCTGGACCCCTTTCTCTTCACTCTGGCCCACTTATCCCATTCATTTTTTTCATGTCAGGAATGACTTGAGAAACTGCAAGTCGCTTCTGGTGTGAGAGAATTGGCCGTCTGCAAGGATGTTGCCCAGGGGATGCCCAGATGTTTTTGATGTTTCACCATCCTTGTGGAAGGCTTCTCTCATGTCCCCGCAGGGGGAGCTGGAGCTGACAGAGGGAGCTCATCCGTGCTTCCCCCGGATTCAAGCCTGCGACCTGTCGATCTTCGGTCCTGCCAACACAAGGGTTTAACCCACTGCACCACCGGGGGCACCTTCATGTGTGCGCCTTTTGAAATGTTTGTTTGTACATTTCAATGCAATCCTAACCCTATCCCAGGTTTCCTTAGCCTGACCTAAGAGAAAGGCAATATAATGCTATATAAAATCCAGATTTTCTGCCTTGAACCATATTATCTGGCAGTGCAGATTCATATAATCCAGTTCAAAACCAAGAATGTAAATAATCTGCATTTTAAATATGAAAGAATAAAATATTTTTTTAAATGTAAGGAGCAGTAAATAATAATAAGTCTTTGTTTACATCCCACTTTTCTCCCTAGCGCAGTGGTCCTCAACTTTCCCTAATACCACAACCCCTTAGTACAGTTCCTCATGTTGTGGTGGCCCCAACCATTAAATTATTTTTGTTGCTACTTCATAACTGTAATTTTGCTACTGTTATTAATCTTTATGTAAATATCTGATATGCACAATGTCTCTTCATTCACTGGACCAAATTTGGCACAAATACCCGATACGCTCAAATTTGAATACTGGTGGGGTTGGAGGGGGTGGATTTTATCATTTGGGAGTTGTAGTTGCTGGGATTTATACTTCACCTACAAGTAAAGAGCATTCTGAACTCCACCAACGGTGGATTTGAACCAAACTTGGCACACACAATTCCCATGACCAACAGAAAATACTGGAAGGGTTTGGTGGGGTTTGGTGGGTTTTGGAGTTGTAGTTCAACTAAATCCAAAGAGCACTGGGGACTCAAACAATTATGGATCTGAACTCAAACACAGAACCCCCATGCCTTGAAGGGACTCGCTGGCGCAAGCCTCCCTCCAGCCTCACAAGCTCTCTCTCGCCTGCACATGCACACCATGCTGCCACACACGGGCACGCCTGCTCTCCCCTCCCCTGCTTGGAGTCTCAGAAACAGCCCTTCCCTCGGCTGAGAAGCCGGCTGAGAGGCTGACCAATCACAGCAGAGGAGAGCTTTTGGTGGGAGGATTCGCTGCTGTTTCCAAAAAGGAAAAGAAGGACAGGCAGAGAGATCTTCAGGTTTCTCTGCCTATGGGGTTCCTAAGACAATGAGACATAGTGTTTTCTGATGGTCTTTGGCGACCACTCTGAAACCCGGTCGCAACCCACAGGTTGAGAAACGCTGTCCTAACAGGACCCAAAAGGAGTTCACAACATAATACAATACTAATCAAAGCGCATTTAACATAAAATAAAATACTAAAATCACACAAAACATAATAATATCCAGAAATAAGATATAAATAAATATTAAGCATTAAAACCAATTACAATTACTGTGAAGACTCATCAATTAAATAGTACATTTCGCAACGCTCAGTGCCAATGGACCTTGCTGTCATTAGCAATTCAACTCATTCATCAAAATGAATGGTGCTGAGGGAGTTCCAAAGGGCCGAGGTGGCTACCAAGAAGGCCCTCTCGTTGCCACCAACCGTATTTGTGGTGGTGGCAACATGAAAGGTCTGTCCGGAAGATCTTAATGATGAGGCAGGTTGGTGAGAGGCAGCACAGTCAAAAAGTTAGGCCTGAACCATTTAGGACTTTAAAGGTCAAAACCAGCACCTTGAATCAGGCTCAGAAACATATTGGCAGACAGTGTAGGTGCTGTAATGGGGTGGTACACTCCCTGGGTACCACACCTGTCAATAACCTGGCTACAGATCTCTGAACTACTTAGAGTTTCCAGGTACTTTTCGTGGGCAGCCCCATGTAGAGCCCGTTGCAGTAGTCTAAATGGGATGTACCTAAAGCTCCTGGCCACTGCCAACACCTGGGCCTCCAGGCTTAGCGATGTCCTTTCTCATCTCCCTAATAGTAACTGTAACCAACTGATTTTAAAAGTAGCATTCCAGTCTTATACATTTCATGTTTTTTCTATTTTATTTTGGAGGCTGTGAAGTAGCGCCAGATGGAAGAAACATTCAAGATTCCGCTCGGAAAAAAAAGATATGGGAACATATTTGTAACTTTTTTTTGTATAATTGCCATAGCTGATGTAAAACCCAGAATATGTCATTTTAAAACATATTTAAATCCTAGGATGTGTAATTTTGATGATGATAATAATAATAATAATAATAATAATAATAATAATAATAATAAAGAGAAAGATGCACTGGCAGATTATGTGAAAGGCAGTCAAGAACCAACATTGAGGGAAATCAGTGGTAGAAAACTGCTTAAAATGCATAAGACAAAGACTGAATACAGTAAAAACACAATGCAGAGCACAAGAGAAAATTGGCAAAAGAAGGCTCTCCGTGGACAGTTCCTGGGAAAAATTTAAAGTCCAATTGACAAAAGAAAAAACATGGATGGGGCTCACAAATGGAAATTTGAAAAAGGAGACGGGGGGCCTGATTCTGGCAGCCCAAGAACAACCCATTGGAACCAACGCCATCAAAGCCAAAATTGAAAAGTCAATGACAGATCCTAAGTGTAGACTCTGCAAGGAAACAGATGAAACAATAGATCACATCCTCAGTTGCAGCAAGAAGATTGCACAGGCAGACTACAAGCAGAGGCATAACACCGTTGCTCAGATGATTAATTGGAACTTGTGCCACAAATACCATCTGCCTGTGACAAAGAACTGGTGGGACCACACGCCTGAAAAGTTACAGAAAATGAACACGTCAAACTACTCTGGGACGTCCGAATTCAGACCGACAGAGTTTTGGAGCACAATACTCCTGACCTCACAATCATGTTAAAAAAACAAGTATGGATCGTTGATGTTGTGATCCCAGGTGACAACGGGATTGAAGAGAAACAACTGGAAAAGCTGAAACAATACGAGGACTTGAAGATCGAACTGCAAAGACTCTGCCACAAGCCAGTAAAGGTGGTCCCAGTGTTGATCAGCACACTGAATGCAGTGCCTAAAGACCTTGGCCTGCACTTAAACACAATCAGCACTGACCAAATTATTATATGTCAGCTGCAAAAGGCCACCCTCCTGGGATCTGTATGCATTATTCACCGATACATCACACAGTCCTAAACACTTCCTGAATCGTCTGATGTGTGAATCGTCTGATGTGTGATCCAATACAACAGCCAGCAGAGTG